AGAGTATGAGGATCACAACCTTGCCTCATTAGTATGAGCAGATGTTTTCAGCAATATATACATACATTTTAAAATCAGGCACCTCTGCTAACACCCCTTTGTTTAACTTACCAATAACACGGTAAGTTTCTCAGGTGAAGGGTCTGTTTTGACTGAAGGAACTTACAGATTTCTGTATAGACAAAACAAGGTATCTTGTGAGTATATGAAACATATTTCAGTTTTCTTGCCACGCTTTACTGGGTGATAGCCTTTAAGAGAGCCGGAAAGACTCCTTCGAGATTGTGGACATTTAAAGATGTAACTATTCAGCTAATCACTACAGAAGGATTGTGAATTTACTTGTTAGCTGTCAGTTTTAGTTAGATTTTTTTTTTTAATAGTTTGTTTTGTGAATTGCTTTTGTGTGAACTGATTATTGGTCTTTTGCACAAAATTAATGAATCTGACCCATTAAGCACCATTATTAATTCTTGTCATGTTTTACTTACAAGAAAAAAAAATCATATGTGGGCATAAAAAATGTTTTACTTATTTCTTTTGCAAACTAAATAACTGCATTTATCTGTTTGAATATTGGCCATGTTTCCTCCATCTTTGGTGAGTATCTTTCTGAAATGTGGATGAAAAATTATATTTCTTATCAAACCAAACTTCTTTCATGAGCTTGATCACTTTCTCATGTTCTGCTGAGAATAACGTCCATTGTTTGCACTCTCAGGCCTGTTCACTTATGATTAGATCACCAGATGGATATGGGTGTAATGGGATGTGTAAATATTATAGTAGAAATCACTGTTTCACTTCTTATGTTTAAAAATATTTTCCACAGACCCAATTAATACAGAGTAGACTGTTTTACTTTAAAGTTAGATGGGAATTTCATAGCATTTTTTAAAGTTTTATATCTGGAAAACCCCAGATTTTTGAAACCCGATCACTTTATTGCTCATAATCAGTGTCATCCTTTAGTGTTTGCTTGCAAAAAAAAAAAAGAAAATAATGTTCTTTTTAGCAGCATCATATGACCCCTTTAATACAGGCACCACTTCTTGAAAATCCAGGACTTAAGCCCTTTTTCAAGCCTTTTTTCTTCCACAGGCTTGTTTTTGTTTTTTGTATTTTAGACACTGGTTGCATTACATGTGGCACTATAGAGTGTGTGAATATCATAACATATTTGTAATACCTTTTTCAAAACACATTTGTTTCTCGTGTGTGCAAACCACACACACCTTCAAGATAAGCACTTTTAAGAACTTTTCAGTTATTCCAGACCTTGAATTTAAACCACTTTAAGGACCTTGTGAAAGAAACACATTACAAGAAATAATATCAAGAGCAGTGATTGATTTTAGTTTTTCTCAGCATTATTACTTTTCATAATGACATTGTAGACAACTTCAGATCTAGGCTACATTCAAATGAATGCACAGAATGAATAGTTGCACACAAAAAGAGATTTTGCACTATTATTTTATTACTTTTTTATTTATTTTTTTGGATATCAAGGGGGCACAGGACTGTAGGCCATGGTTGCCGTCAATACTGCTTGTTTTCTAGGCCTTTGTTTGCACCGTGGGTGGGTGGGTTAGTTTTTGTAATTTTTCTTTTCTTGATATCTTTGGGGTTAAGGGGACATTTCTCTGCTGTATGACCATCTTTAGAACGCAGTGTCAGCGGCACAATTTGATATTTGATCTATTTCTTCTGTTTCTGGTTATGTCATTAATACAGTGTCGGCGCCATGAGCAGGTGGGCAGGCTGGCCAGGCCACTTCCGACTACTAGGTATACTTTTCTCCAAACCAATCTTCTGAGCTGCTCAAAACTATTGTGAAAATATTTTCTTGCCATTTTTTGCACCGTGTTTAGGTTTGGGATAGATTTTTGATTACTACTTCTGTAATATCCCAATTGTCTTGAGGGCTGCTGCTCCTCAATAGGGCCTCTGGGCCCATGAGATACACACCGATTTGCCCAAGAACTCCGAAAAATTCAGAGCCTCTAGAGCACTTTCTGCATCACATCGATGTTTAAAGGTAATAAAACCATATCCGCGGGAGACCTTGTTGATTTATCTCTGCACACATGCACAGTGGAGATAGGGCCGAATGAGAAGAAAACTTTTTCCAACTCTTGTTCACTCACATGTTACACACAAATGTCGCAAATTACTTGCAAGCAATGACCTCGGTGCATGAGAGCTGCTCTCCTTGGGGTCATCCAAGCTGAAGCTGTTCTTTTCGTGCACTCTGGTCCGGCCACTTCAGTCCCCCGCCCACCACTTTAACAATTTCTACTGAGAGGGACGTCCCTACCACCACCCACCTCCCTGGAATGCAATTCCTACCGCAACCGAGACCCCCTCTAAAAACGCAAATGCCCCCATAGTTTGTATGGGTTGGCGCCGACTACTAGGCCTACTTTTCTCCAAACTAATCTTCTGAGCTGCTCAAAACTATTGTGAAAATATTTTCTATGGCTTTTTTTTTGCACCATGTTTACGTTTGGGGTGGATTTTTGTCCATCATCAGCAGGGCTGTAGGCTGAATGGGAATTAATTTTTCCTCATCGCCCATGCTGTGGCCAAAAGACCAATGGCAACCCAGCCTTCAGGGCTGGTCAAAACTGCTGTTAATGCATTTTTTGCAGTATTTACAAGCTTTCTCCCCAGTGATTGCTTGACAGGCTTAGGACGGCTTGCTTCTGGAACATCCCAATTGTCTTGAGGGCTGCTGCTCCTCAATAGGGCCTCAACGGTCACGTCTTGGACCCACGAGATACACACCTTTTTGCCAAAGAGCTCTGAAAAATTCAGAGCCTCTAGAGCACTTTCTGCATCACGTCGTTGTTTAAAGGTAATAAAACCAAATCCGCGAGAGACCTTGGTTAATTCATTTCTGCACACATGCACAGTGGAGATAGGGCCGAATGGGATGAATACTTCCAGCAACTCTTCTTTGCTCACACATGTCATCAAGTTACTTACAAGCAATGACCTCGGTGCATGAGAGCTACTCTCCTTTGGGTCGAAGCTGTTGTTTACGTGCACTCGGCACGTCTGGAATTGCCCAAAGAATGAGATGTCTTCACATAGATCAGGAATTTCAGAGTGCCCGGGAAACAATAAGTGATCGGCCCAAATGACACGCATTGGTCGTTTGTCCAAGAGCTTTGAAAAATCCAGAGCCTCTAGAGCATTTTTTGCATCACTGCGATGTTCAAAAGTAACCAAAGCATACCCACGACAGAAGTTATTTCTACTTCTGAACACTTGCAGAGAACAAATAGGTCCAAATGGGTCGAATACTACATGCAACATTAGTTTGTCCACAAGTGGGTGCAAATTGCTTACAAGCAACGGCCAGCTGAGGTCTCTTTGTTGCATGTTATCCTCACTAGAAGACCACTTAAAGGATACTGGCATTTTGCTATTACTATATAAAGCTCACAAATACTGTGTACAAGTCACAACTGATGTATCCGCAAATGGATGCCTCAGTCAGATCAAGTTTATCATCTAACAGCTTTGCTCCCTTTAGGCTCCGAACGTTCTAAATTCCGATGACGTCACAACTACGGCATAATAGGACATCACGTGACATGCAGCGTTTCATAAACAGCTAAACAAAATTAGGATGATTTTGAGTCAAAGTCCTAAAATTTATAGAAAAATACATTTTAATTTTAACGAATGTCACACATAAAAGCTCACATTAATTTAAAGCTGTGGATTTTAATTGCACGAGTAAAGAATTCACTTCCTTTTTGCGGCGTAATTACTGCGTCTGAACGGTTTATGTCCAAATATATAAGCTGTCAAAATATAGCTCTTGCAGAGTTTTTTCGCAACCAGTTTATGTCCTTAATGAACGTAAACATTTCAGGGGAGATCGGAATCGGATGCGTGGCAATATATTGAACCCCTCCATTGGATCCGCTTCCATCCATATAGTGACAGCAGGAAAATAAACAATAAAAGTAATTCAATTTCTGCGCTTGACTAAACAATTCTCGTAGATTTTATTTTTTAAAAATCAATGCATGCTTGGTTCACACTTGTATTCAATAATTGCTTAACTTTTAACCTACATTAGACATCCCAGTATTACTTTTTGCAGCGATATGACCAATAAATAAATACAAAAATCTCAGCAAAATCTCTACTGTTTTCTTTTTCTTTTCAGTGCTTATTTAAACTGTTTTAAATGCAAGCTAATCAAAAATACACAATAAACATGGCATATGAAAACATCCCTTGTCCATAAAAAAAGATTAAATGTGGTAAACAAGCCGGTGGGCTTAAGATAGCAAGCAAACCCAGGCACAGCTAACAAGCCATTAGTTGCTAACGGGAAATATTAAAATTTTATTGATTAGTATGCTATTGTTAAGCGTATAACTTTGCTTCCCATGCATTTCTGGTCACGCGTGAACTATTGAAGCAGAAAATAAACAGAGAGTGAACGTTTACGAAGCTAGCAAACATGCTAACTGTGCTAAACTGCGCCAGCGGACTTTTCCACCACTCGCACCATAACACAGTCCTTTTAGCGTTATCTGACCTGTTCTCCCCGAGTCCAGCACTCTCTCCCATTAAGAATGGTTTTACTATTATGATGGACGTTTTATTAGCATTCGGAGTTGTTTTTAAATGATTCTAACTAATAAAAATGTAATCAAAGATATATACACCTTAAATTATATATTATCGTTATTTCATTATAGATATACCTTATATGCAAATGAATATATAATGAAAAAATGTATTCCATATATCTTGCATTAGTTTTGCCTAGTCAAAAATGAATAAAAACGGACTATTATCGTTCCATTATCACGTATTTAGTCAGAATTGCTTTACATGTACTTTAAATCAAATTGTGTCTAGTCAGAACTGACTCAGGAGATGTAAAGGTAGAAGCTTTAAAAGAAGAAGCTGCCTACTGCAGCCTCCAACCAAGTTTTCTCCCTTTTTACACGCTGCGTCGTTTTTCGTGGGCGTGGATCTGCCTAAGTAACGGTGCGGCCACACTTCGGGGTTTTCAGACAGAGATACTGCAAGAAGGAAAAACAGCGTCATGCCAGAGGGGTAAAAGCGGCGAGGTGGTCGATTTCGCTTTCTCGGGTTGACTTATTGCTCCGCAGTGATCAGGCAAATCCGACTCATCTGCAGTCCGTGCGCGATAGAAACGCTCGACTTTAACTCGACAGCATATGTTGAATTTGAGTTGCAAATAGCTGCGCGCAATCGCTTTGTAATCCTATCTCGACTTTGGAAAAAATTGCGTACAAACCAACAATGTCTCACGTTGATTCAGGGCCGAAAAATGACTCGGACTCGGAAAAGAAGACTGAACAGGCTCAGGACAGTTCATCGGGAGAAATGGACGTTCCTAAAACTAAACTATTTGATGCCAAGGCAATCTTATGGACTTTTGGCAAATGTCTTACTGCCTTGTTGCCCGTTTACCTGGCTGGTTACTATCGGATGAGCACTAGTTTAGTGGTGTTTGGGATGATGGTTTACGCAGGATGGAAACACACTCGTGAGGCGAAGGAGGCGAGACTGAAATCCGCTATAGAGTTAGTCAACGACGAACAAGAATATATATCCTCCAAATCATTTAGAAGTAGAAGAGACCTACCTTCTTGGGTAAGAATGCACTAAAGTGTGTCTTTTCTTATTCTTGAAAAAAAATAAAAATAATAATTGTTATTTATGTATAACGTCCGAATAAACCCACACGTATTCATACTACAAGTGAAACAGACAATGTGTTAATGTAAAAGATTTGCATAGCTACAAACAACTAAAAAGAGTGGCGATGTCCGAATCGCGAATGATTTGTTCTTATGAATCTGTTCATTTGAATGATTCGGATTCGCACGGCGTTTGAAATCACTTCGCTGTTAAGGATAAGCATAGACGTAAAACTGAGGAGGATGACATGAACAACTCTAATATTTGACGCAACCTTCTCGAGAACATAGTGGAAACAGTCGTGCTTAACAGAACAACATCTTTTACCACAAAAAAAAAATTTAGTGACGGTGTCAGTCACGGTGAATCACTTTTTTAATCAGTTCATTGAAAAAAAAAAACCCGTCTGAGCGAATCGATTCGCTGAAATGAATCTGATTCCCCAGTGCTGCTAAAGTGCAGGAGTGGTCTGCAGATTTAGAGGACATTTTTCGAGCTGATGGTGGCGCTGTTTTGGTGGTATACTGTATACTAGGTGCTGCATAGTTGGCAAAATTCCCATCGCCCAAATCATTCTGAACACATTGTTGCTTTGTCATCCCTTCCACATTTGCACAGTAGACGCTTCCATTAAAGAGTTTATTCTATATTTGGTCATGTGTCATGGCTGTCATGTGGTGAAAAAAAGTTTAAAGTATATATACAATATATAAAAATAAATTTAAAAATGCATTTAAATTAAATAAAACAACATTAATTAATTTATTTATTCCATTTTAATGGGGATATTTTTTCCAAAGAAATCTAATTATACACTGCAAATAATATATGTTATTGTTTTTTAAGAAAGAAATGATTAAATTGGATTCCCCAGTGCTGCTAAAGTGCAGGAGTGGTCTGCAGATTTAGAGGACATTTTTCGAGCTGATGGTGGCGCTGTTTTGGTGGTATACTGCATACTAGGTGCTGCATAGTTGGCAAAATTCCCATCGCCCAAATCATTCTGAACACATTGTTGCTTTGTCATCCCTTCCACATTTGCACAGTAGACGCTTCCATTAAAGAGTTTATTCTATATTTGGTCATGTGTCATGGCTGTCATGTGGTGAAAAAAAGTTTAAAGTATATATACAATATATAAAAATAAATTTAAAAATGCATTTAAATTAAATAAAACAACATTAATTTATTTATTTATTCCATTTTAATGGGAATACACTTATTTACACTGCAAATAATATATGTTACTGTTTTTTAAGAAAGAAATGATTAAATTGGAGGAAGAATGTTCATGATAGACTGAGGTGTTTGTATGTGCTGTTTTTTTTTTCCATCTTTATAATCACATCCTCTGTTAAAGATTGTTGTGCTGACACTTTAAAGCTCGTATGCATTGGCAGTCTTTGCATTTAAAAATGTGTTATTATTTTTTCTTCATAATTTCAGGTAAATTTTCCAGATGTGGAGAAGGTTGAATGGCTCAACAAGGTAATTCAGCAAACATTTTGGTTTACATTTGTTCATTGAGATGCCACATGTAAAATCAAGCCTGTAATCCCATGTATTCCTGAGGCGTGCCTTTAAACCCCACCCAACCAGTCCGTATGACCCTCCCTTATGTCACAACAGCTGTCTGTGACCACACACACACACACACACACACACACACAAAACATGAGCATGCCTGGTGAACAAAAGCTGCATATGCTATTATTACACATTCATTCTTAACCAAACACTAATTCAACCAACATATGTTCCTGCCTTTGAATTAGTAGATGAGTTACAATGCATGTTTTTCCAAGAAATAAAATTTTTAATGACCTTTTTGCATCTCTAAAACATTTACAATAAAAATCATTACGATAGTTGCCAAAATACCATAGTAAATATAACACAATTAAAGATAAAACCCACTTTATAATGATAATAAAAGCTCAAATTAATGCATAACAAAAAAATGGAAATTGAAACCAAATGATAATAATAAAAGACAACATAATACATAAAAGGCTTCAGAAAAAAAATGGCTATTTAAACGCTAAAGTTAAAAGATACTTTTTTAGTTTTCTTATTTAGTATTAATGGTATATTTTTCAAAATATAGTTTTTTCAAAATTAGTTTTGGGGTTGAAATGAGCTTTTCTTCTTGAGATTTACTCTACTGAGAGACAGAAAAAGGAGGAGCATATAGAGATATATCCCTTCCTGACGTCTATAGCATTTGTCCTTCTTTGCGATGAAGCTCATCCCATTTCAGTATAGTCTTATTATATAATAGTATATAATATGTGTAAAAGTGCTGCAGCGTATCATTTGAGCACAAATATTTAGGCCTGACGTGCTTTATCAGTGATTCACGAGGCAGACATTTTTACGCTGGCATTCATCCCAGCCGAGACTCTACCCTTGTTGTACCCCGTGGTCATGTGGTTTGTGCATGAGTCACAATGCTATTTCTAATATCTGTGGTTTGCACATGCAACGAAACAATCTGAAAAATACCCTGGCAACTGGTGCTTTAGCTTCTGTTATCAGCTCTTCACCTCCACGAACAACAACAAATGGTCGCTATAGTAACAAGGCAAACACAACTGGCACGGTGTAAACAGCTGCAAGCAGAGCAGAGAACAGGCATGAGTTAAACGAGCGTTACGGGAACATTCCATTTGATAATTTTTCAAACATTATGAGAATGTTGCTTTTAAATGTTCTCTAAACCTTCTGAAACGGGTAGTAACATTTAAAAAATGTTAAATGAACGTCCAACTAAAACGTTTCTTAAAAAAAGCGTTCCATGAACGATGCATAAATATTCTAAAATAAAAAAAAGACACACTCTGACATAAAATATGACACACTCTTTCTCTTCCTGTCTGTTTTTCAAGGTTATCCAGCAGGCCTGGCCATTTATTGGTCAGTATTTGGAGAAGCTGCTGACGGAAACCATTGCTCCATCCATCCGCGGCTCCAGCACTCATCTGCAGACGCTCTGCTTTACGAAGGTCGACTTTGGTGGCAAGGTCATACATGCTCACTCACTTACAGCTACACAATAAATAATATTCCTATGAAACATTCCCACACATCTCAATCCACCGCAGTGCAAGAGATTAAAAGAGGCTCCAGTGCCACTGAAACGTGTCAGAACAAGCGTTCTGTTTAAATAAATGCTCTAGAGAACAGTATCAACATCTGATGTCTCATGGCAAACATTCCTGTTGAGGCAGTAGTGAAATTTAGATGTTAAAGTCATTTAAAAATATTATAAGACTGAAATTCTATATTTCGTTGCAAATATTTTAGCTAATACTGCAGGGAGGTTGTGAGTCAATGAAAAGCTATTAATTCATTAAATCATAAAAAAGTAAAATAAAGTAAATAGATCATTATGAAAATGAAACACTTACTAAAAATATTTCATTTGTTTACCTGTATGTCATGTGACCATTAGTCGAAATCAGAGAACCCTAAACATACAAGTGTGTTGTTCAATTATTAAAATATTAGCATAAAACTCATAGATGGTACTTCAAGTACATATTTTAGGTCAAAGGGGTTTTGGAATCCCTGAACTATTATATCGCTTTTAGCATTATTGAATAACATTCATAAAGAAACAACTGATTTGCCCAATTGTCTTGCCTGCACATTTTATCTTCTACAATAGAACTTTCTTTTATTTTACAGCCTATGAAGGTGGTTGGAGTGAAGGCTCATACAGAAAATGAGAAAGGTCAAATTCTGCTTGACGTTTACATCAGGTGACGCATGCATCTGAGATTCTCTGCAAACATGAGGTCCTATAATGAGGGCATTGTCTATTGTCTCTCAGGGAGTGATTTCAAAGCCTTGTGTACTCGATATTGTGTCTGTATTTCACAAGTTGACGAAACAAGATTGTCAAACTGCAGCCATCTCAGATTTGTTCAGCCTGATTGAGTTTATTCAGAGAAATAAATGAGAGGATATCCTATTGAAAGACTGAAAGGCATTTCAATTTCTTAGTTTCAATTAATTATATTAGTTTTAGTTGTTTTGGACAAATTCAGCAAAATTCCTTAAAAACCTCTACCGCACGCATTATGATGGACCTATAGAAAAAAATATTTGAATCTTTTTCTTTTCTAAAAATGGCTTAACTTGAAGTGCTGTAAAAAGAATTATGGAAAAAAATATTATTTTAAGGCACTTTATGATATGTTGCCATATGGCAACAGCATACAATAGTGGATCTAACTTAGAATAAGTGTAAGTTTACTATAATACAAATGCCATTAACATATGACTAATCAACATTATATCACTGGTATTAATGTTGTTATTGTTACAGTTTAACAGATTGCAGCTGACCTTGCTAGCTAGCTTTCTCTTTCCAACAAAAAAAAAAACGAGAATGTTCTCTTAAAGAGACAGTGGCAAGGAAATGAACACAATGAGTATGTTGCCATATGGCCACAACATGCGGTGGAGGGCTAAAATTAAAAAGCATCTAATGTATCCTCAACGTGTCTTTTTCCAGTTACGTGGGGGACGTCGAGATAAATGTGGAGGTGAAGAGGTATTTCTGCAAGGCTGGTGTGAAGGGAATACAGGTGAGATTATTCATTGTGACGGTAGATTTGATGCACACTCCCAATAAATAAATGAATGAGAGTTTATTCCACTTGCGTTTGTTCTGTCAGCTTCATGGAATGATGCGTGTGATTTTGGAGCCTCTGATCGGTGACGTCCCAATCGTGGGCGCTGTAACCATGTTCTTCATTCAAAGACCTGTGAGTTTCTCTAAACTTAATCTACACTATGAAATAAATCGGTAACACTTTAGTTTAGGGAGCAATTCTCACTATTAACTAGTTGCTTATTAGCATGCATATTAATTACTAGCATATCGGCTGTTTATTAGGACTTATAAAGCACATATTAATGCCTTATTCTGCATGATCATATTTTAGATCCCTTAATTCTAGCTCATACCTAAACTTAAAGGGTTAGTAGTTCACCCAAAAATGAAAATTAGCTCATGAATTACTCCCAACAATTTTTAATATAACTCCGATTGGATTCATCTGAAAGAAGAAAGTCATTTACGCCTAGGGTGGCTTGAGGGTGAGTAATTCATGGGCTAATTTTCATTTTTGGGTGAACTATCCCTTTAACAACTACCTTACTAACTGTTAATAAGCAGCAAATGAGGAGATTCTTGATGCAAAAGTCGTAGTTAATAGTTAGTTAATAGTGAGGATTGGTCCCCTGTTAAACAAAACCAACAAACAAAACTGTTTTTGGCTGTATATGGTTCTTGAGTTGCCTAGATAGTTCTTCAGAGATTAAAAAGTTGCTGCAAGACATTAAAGGTTTTTGAAATGTAAAATAAAATAAATAAATTACTAAAATAGGTTAAATATATTTTTTTTATCTACATATCACGTGACCATTAACCGACATAAAAGAACAGTGAACATGCAAATATGTTGTTAAATAATTGAAATATAAATATTTTAGGAGTATTTTAGAAGTGGATCGGCTGACAAAATAATTTGGGAATCACTGCAGTAGTATATAGTATCATTCTTTAACCGAAGAAAATTGAAGCTCTCCTGGGGTTTTTGAAGCATCAGTACATGATTTTCTAAAAAAAAACATTGAGCTTTACAAGGTTCATCTGGTTTCTTTGTTTTTTAAGCATTTCTGGAACCTCTTAAGTGTTTATTATTTCATTAGTACTCAAGTCAGAATGTTAGTTTTGTTGGAATCATGTGATCTTCTCCTTTGCCCTGTATTTGTTAGAAACTGACCATTAACTGGACTGGTTTGACCAACCTGCTGGATGTTCCAGGGCTCAAGTGAGTTTCAGTCATTAGAGATAACAATAACATTTTATTCGGCTCAGTACACTCACTGTCCTGAGCTGCCTTCATTTGTGGTGTGTTTCTCTCTGAATCCATTTAACACTTTCTGTCTCTGATTCTGTCTCTCAGTGTGATGTCAGATACTATGATCATGGACGCGATCGCTTCATTCCTGGTTCTGCCCAATCGTCTCACTGTTCCTCTAGCGGCAGACCTGCATGTTGCGCAGCTGCGGTGCCCTTTACCCAGGGTAACACACACACACACACACACAAACAGACCTTTACAAATGCCAATATACACGTTAGAATCAACATAAAATGCAGCATTTTGACAAAAACACTCAAAAACATAATACTTTGGTTTTTGCAATTGAAATTGAAACTACCATACCAATGGTTTGGGCCCACCAAGGCTGCATTTATTTTTTCGAATATAGTAAAAACAGTGAGATTGTGAAATATTATTACAATTTAAAATAACTGTTTTCTGTTTGAATACATATTATATATATTTGTTTGAATATATATTAAATTTAATTTAGTGATGGTAAAGCTGAATTTTCAGCATCATTTGTCACATGATCCTTCAGAAATCATTCTAATATGCTGATTTGATGCTTAAGAAACATTTCTTATTATCATGGTTGAAAACAGCTTCATTTTTGTGGAAACCTCCCCCCCCCCCAAGATTCTTTGATGAATAGAAAGTTCAAAAGAACAGCATTTATTTGAAATAGAAATCTTTTGTACCATTATAAATGCCTTTTCTCTTACTTTTGATCATTGTAGCTTCTGTGCCACATTTGCAGTGCAATTAGAAATAGTCAACCACATTTTTTAATGCAGAAGTAGCATAAAAGTATGTAAAGGATAACGTTGCCTTAAAAAAATGGTACAATATAATTTGTTTTCATTTAGGAGTAATGCAGTAATGAAACCGTTCTCTGCACTGCAGTCTCATTCTGTGCATCTTTCTTTCATAAAGGGAGTTGTGCGGATTCACCTGCTGGAGGCTGATGGTCTGGCTTCGAAGGATAACTATGTGAAGGGTGTGATGGTGGGCATGTCTGACCCATACGCCCTGCTCAGAGTCGGGCCGCAAACCTTCAAATCCCGCCATCTGGACAACACACTCAATCCCAAATGGGATGAAATGTATGAGGTGGGTGTTAAAGTGACACCACATTATAATAACAACAAAAAAGCAATAAGCCATTTATTATTATAATATCAATGTATGATGTAAATGTGATAAACATCTTAATCTCATGTGTATCTGTCTTTCAGTTCAAATGTAGAACCATTTACACTACATTTTGTCATTGATTACCCATGCTGTTACTGTAGGTGTGTGTTTGGTGTTTCATGCATGCATGTGTGTCCGTCAGGTCATCGCTCATGAGGTGCCTGGTCAGGAGCTAGAGGTGGAAGTGTTTGATAAAGATCCTGATCATGATGATTTCCTGGGCAGGTACCATATCACCGCATCTCTTCTCTGTCCATCCATCTCTCATTTATTCTTTAAAAGGTGTTTTTTGCTGTTTGCTGATATTACACTATTCTTATCCTTGCGTTGATTCTCTTTATTCCACTTGTGCTCAGGACAAAATTAGATTTGGGGATTGTGAAGAAATCAAAAATAGTGGATGAGGTGAGAACCTTAATTAATATTCCTGTGTGTGTGTGTGTGTGTGTGCGTGTGTGTGTGTGTGTGTGGTTAACTTGGTTTGGTTTGCAAATCCTTGCATAAGACATTAAGTCTACATTGAAGAACCAGTTTGTTATAAACTATTAAAATCGTAAACCATGTTTTGTATATTGCAGTTATTTTTATTTATGAATGTAATTATCACATGGATGAATGCTTGATTCTGATTGGTCCATCATGGCATTCTCCAGTCAAATATTTTAAAGATGAGGAACTTTCATTTACTGCTTTTCAAATCTCTTGCAGTGTTATAAATAACTAAAACTAAAATTACTTGTTTTCAATTGATAAATTGAATATCAAAAATCGATAAAAAGCTGAGATATAAGCTGAAAGATAAAATTGAAATATTAGCTGAAAAACTAAAATAAGGTTTAAGCCGAAGTACTTGTATTACAAAGAATAAATCTGAAATAAAAGTAATTATAAAATAATTATAAGTAATTATAAAAATATATATAAAAAAATACAAAATTACGAAAACTTATGAAAACTCAAATAAAAAAAACTAAGTATAAAAATAAATCATAAATACTAAGCACTGATCTATGTTCACTTTTCTTGCATAATAAAATAATTTCATCTGAAATATTTAAAGTGCATTTTATTTATTTATTTGGTAAGTAACAGTGTAATAAGTGTGATAAGCTGCTCATTATTGCAAAATAAACCCCTGAAAAGGCGATTCTATCTTGTATCAACCGGAAGGGGTTTATTTTACAATAATGGGCAGCTTAGTGAAAATTGGTGTCTTTTTTCATAATGTTAGTCATAGGTTTGTTGTAGCCTGTCTTATTGGTGTTTGTTTCTGTTTTAATGTCCCCTTCTTAGTGGTTCACCTTGAAGGACACCCCTACAGGACGGGTTCATCTCAGACTTGAGTGGCTGACACTAGAAGCAGACACAGAAAGACTGGAAGAGGTAACACCGTACATACACAGAGCACAGGGGGTTTTGATGGAAAAGGGTGTGCTCTGTTCAACGCACATGCAAACAGTGTGTTCCTCTACTCCACCCTTTAACCAATGCCAGTTTAGAGATCAAAAGCTTACTTTGCACGCTTGGCAAACAGAGTGATTTCAAACAGAATTTCTTGCAGTTGGTTCGCCCCTCCCTCCATTGCCCTCAATTTTTCTTTCTCTCTCTCTCTCTCTCTCTCTCTCTCTCTCTCTCAGGTTCTGAAGAGAAATGAAAGTGTGGTGAGTCAAACAGCAAAGCCTCCCTCAGCAGCCATCTTGGCAGTGTATCTGGACAAGGCTGAGGCACTTCCTGTGAGTAATACTCTCACATCCTCTTCCTGCTGCACTCTTTGTTCTAACACACACACACCACACACTATAATTTGGGCAGAAAATTCTCCCCACAGGTGTCCTAAATCTGGCTTGCTTTTGGTGACATCTGGGCATGTCATCGATTGGAAAAATTATTCTTAAATAAACTAAATTTTGCTTTTTTGAAAAAAGAAAATCAGACGATCTCGGGTATGGGCCGGGTTCGGGCTTCACTTTAAAGCCCGTGCAGACCTCTAAAAGAAAAAAAAAGTTTTAAATAAAATTATATAATGCTCTTATAATTAGCTTTATATGACAACAAAAGAAGTTTAAGACTGCATTTATTTGCTCAAAAATAAAAAAATATGATGAAATATCTGTACAATTTCAAATAACCATTTTGTATTTTAATGTAAGTTAATATGTAATTTATTCCTGTGATCTGCTACCCGACCCGAGCCCGACGGGTCCTGAAATACTTTCGGGTCAGGTTCGGGTTCGGGTTCGGGGTAAATGTTTAATTAATAGCTTCGGGTTCGGGATATACTGATTTGCTGCTCAATAAACATTTCTTATTATTATCAATGCTAAATACAGCTCATATGCTGCTTCATATTTTTATGGAAACTGTGATTCATTTTTTTTTTTTTCAGGATTTTTTTGCTGACTATAAAGTTCAAAAGAACAGCATTTATTTAAAGGGGTGCTATTATGCTTTTTCACTTTTTCAACTTTAGTTAGTCTGTAATGTTGCTGTTTGAGCATAAAAAAGATCTGCAAAGTTACAAAGCTCAAAGTCCAATTCAAAAAGAGATATTTTATTTAACAGAAAACACTTTTCAAAAACTACAACGAACGACTCGTTTGGACTACAATGCATATTTTCCGGGATTTGTGATATCACAAATACCGACGAATGGGACGAGACCTGGTTGAGCTGCACTAGAGAAGGCAACGAGTGTTATCACTATGTCGGAGACATGCTTGCTTTCCCAAGGCAGACGAACTTAGAGTGGTCACAATCATCCGGGTTTAAATCGCGCTCAAATTGATTTGATTTTGACGCAATATTTACACTGAAGCTCTATGTAAGGGGCATGACATTTCCCGACCAGGTGCCGAGTGGGTTCTAGTACACCCCCAAAACAAAATCAAGACTTTGTAAAAGAGCATAATAGGACCCCTTTAAAGTAGAATTTTTTGTAACATCATAAATGCCACTTTAGATCAGTTTAATGTGTCCTTGCCAAATAAAAGTATTAATTAAAAAAAAATAAAAAATTGGTAGTGTTTGTGGGTCTGATTTTCCCGTCTTTGTACCTGAAAAGGAAGTGAAATCTGAACTTGCCATACTGTGGGGACGAGTCAACGGTCCCTTTATGGAAAACTGCTTAATAAACAGTGTTGGGGAAAGTTACTTTTAAAAGTAATGCATTACAATATTGCGTTACTCCATAAAAAAAGTAACTAATTACATTACTTAGTTACTTTTTATGGAAAGTAATGCGTTACGTTACTTTTGCATTACTTTTTAAATCTGGACAGGGCTTGCTTGTTTGATTTTAAA